AGCGAATTGGGTTCTCAGAGGAACAGGCAAAACAACATTATTTGGAAAGCGACTCTTCCACTTGTGATAGATGCATACGAAGTTTATCTTGATTTGAAACAAAGCTAAAAATCTGATATACTCAGTGATCGAAATGAGTTATCAGTTCAGTTAGTTAATATTTATTTAGTTAGTTCGACCCGTTCACATTCACTACCGGTTTTTGAACAGAATTGAATTTCCTCATTCACTTTCACTCCAAGTAACCTTTTGCGTCTTAGTGGTGAATTCAGTAAAATGATTATTCCATGGCGAGCAATCATCTCAAATCGTGCCACTAACCGAGTGCGAACCTCCATCTGGGGCGAATCATCGCCCCACAGCAGGCAATCATCCCAAGGCCAGTCACATTCCCACGACAAGCCATCATCCCACGGTTGACCAACATCAAAAGGCAAGCTACTAACCCAAAGCGAGCCATTGAGTTATCCATGCAACATTCCGTTAATATGTAAGTATAAAAAAAATTAGAACATGCTAATTTCTTGCGAGACATCTCGTCATCTGATTGTACGAGGGAAAGTAAAACGTTATCCGCACACACAGTTATACGGAGTGCGATAGATAAATTGTCGCCTAAATTATGCAAAAATTAAAATAATACTGACATATCATTTTAATAGATATATGTACCAAATTATCTTTAAATCCTAAAGAGAAAAATAATTCAACAGAATTGCCATTGGCTTCAATCACGGCCTCCAGACAACTTCAGAATCTCCTGCAACTCTTCTAGAGTGTCTACTTCTTTAAGTTGGTGAATGGTGCCATAATATTTGCTTCTAGTTCATCTTTGGCGTTATAAGGAGTTTTGTTGGGTTCCCACACAATTGCTTCCCACACATAATAATCAAGGGAGTTGCAGGAGTTAGGTAGCCAGATGAAAGGTTTAAAGTGGTCGCAGAAATTGCCTGACGGTCATGACTGGGTACTCCTCCTTATGTGGCGTGGTGCTGTCTCCTGTTGCCATACATAGAGTCTCCCAGCAGCCATCATCATTACTCAGGGCAGCACTAACTCCTCAAGGCACTTCATGTACGCCTTCTTGTTGAGTATCAGGCCGGGAAGATAAATACAGGTATAACATCGCCATCACTAGTGGTCACTCCAAACATCTTCGTAATCACCATTAGACTCGTCCAACTCTTTCCAAATTCTTTGCACTGTCCTCAGATTGACACTTAAACGCTCTAAAATGTTCTTATTGGAGCATCCGGTGCGAATGCCAAGTGGTGCAGCATACTATTTCCAAATTTATGGCGGAGGGATTTTGTCATGGTCATCATTTTCTTACAGACGGTGCCGAATTGAACCTATTATATCATTTAGTCAACAAAATCAAAGACAAACAATGCGCCTGCGCGAAATTTTAAAAAAAAATCTAAAATGGCGACAATTTACATATCGCACCCTCTGTGTCTCTGTGTATTTATATATATATATATATGTATATATATATATATATATATATATATATATATATATATATATATATATATATATATTTGTGTATTTATATATATATATATATATATATATATATATATATATATATATGAAGAAATATAGTCTTAAGATGTGCTATATTTATGGGATAAAGTGCTCAATATCAGAGATAGAGCATGTGTAAATATAAAGTGAACACAGAAGTCAACAATAAATGACTTCCTGTAAAATAACCACAAATTAGACTACCCACAATGCACCACTGGCCCGTACATATAAATAACCGAGAAAAATAACAGCACTCGTGGCCTGACGATTGCATCTAGCATGAAACAGACTGTCGCCTCTTATGTATATATAAATAAAAAGAACAGTAAGATGTATAATCCGGTGTTCTTATATATATATATATATATATATATATATATATATATATATATATATATATATATATATATAATGTCTTATCACAGCTGAAGCTCATGGACATCTAACACCCACGGAGCCCACCGTTTCAAAATATCTTATGATTCTCTTTTTCTCACAGCCGGTGCCCAACTGACCCTAATATACTGTGCTACCAAGAAAATCAAAAACATACAACGCGTATGTATAAATGTTATGGCGAAAGTGAGGATCATTTTTGACTTGCCTTCATACATAGCTATCATTCGCTTTCAACTCAGAATTCATTTACTTAGAAACAAACATCCGTTGAGAAGAATAACTTCGAAATTATTCTGCAAAAGAAAATAAGTTTATTTGATTTCATATTCCTAAATAGAATCCAGGTAGTTTCAGATTAGGGATACCTACGAGTATAGATGCAATATTTTAGTCGTGTGCGTAGTTAAAATTTACGATATTTGTAAAGAAATATATACCGGAAGTCAACAAGAGCGTTAAATTTTAAAACTAATTTAACAAATTACGTTAGTTGAGCAAACTTTTTAAAGTTGTGTACATACGCAGACCAAGGACATTGTTTACGGACATAAAGGCGTATGTGCTTCACCGTGTACGTTGATATGGACTAGAAGGGATTAGGATATAATCGGACAATTAAAAGCAAATATTAATCTTGAGATTGATAGCCTAAAATTAGAGCGAAAAGAAGCGTTAATAAACAACATAGGTGGATGTAGGTTATATGCATTATAACTTTCTAAAGACCTTCAAGGCAAACAAAAGTTTAAAGAAACTGTGCACACATTCCGTGGAGACAAACGTAAAAGTGTCTCCTGACAAATCAATTCTGATTCAATATACCGGGATTTGACGGTGTCAAATTGAAAGAAAAAAAACAAAACAATTCAAAATGCTATTTTCAGATGGATGTTGTGCAATCCTACCAGTTTATTCCCTTGTTTACCTGTTCAGGTATCGAACTAACCCTGCCCCATATCTATGTCATTCTCGTCATTCTCATTTATTTTCTTATCTATCTCTGAACACATCTATCCGTCTAACCTGTTCAGATCTATCTATCTATCTATCTATCTATCTATCTATCTATCTATTCAACTGTACATACATACATACATCTACAAAAATTGTTCAGATCTATCTATGTTTGTATGCATCTATCTATCCATCTATCAATCTTTTCAAGTGTACATATATACATATACTAAAACTGTTCAGATCTATCTATCTATCTATCTATCTATCTATCTATCTATCTATCTATCTATCTATGATTGTATGCTTCTATCTATCCATCTATCTATCTATCAATCTTTTCAAGTGCACATACATACATACACAAAAATTATTCAGGTCTATCTATCTGCTCTTTACCTATGTTTGTATAAATCTATCTTTATATTTATCTATCTGTGTTTGATAATTAAGAAGAGACTCGTAATAGAAAAAATATACTGTTTGTGATATATATATATATATATATATATATATATATATATATATATATATATAACAAAATGAAATGAGAATAATATAATCTCATTCTTCTTTTTCTTCTTAAAATTATATTTTATTTAATTTTTAAATTAATAATTTTTAATTAGCTTTACAATTTTTGAATTGTTAATATTAATGCTAACTACGGTCTATTTTTTTTTATATATTACGATTAAAAGAATATATTCATATATTAATACAAGCAATATAATTTTTTTTAAATCTTTAAATATGAATATTGCTCACTCAAATATATAATATATTATCGATTTTTACATACATGCTGCTTATTTTAATTACCAAAATAAATAAAAAAATGTAATCCCAGCATAATATATAACTACAGCAACATTGTGATATATATATATGTATGTATGTATATCACAAACAGTATATATTTTTCTATCACAAGTCTCTTCTTAAGTATCTATCTTATGTATTTATATGAAGAATAAAATATAATATATACACTAAAACAAATCCTCATTATCGCCAAAAACGTTTGCAGTTTCTCTCTTTTTAAATCATTCATATATACATACACACAGACACACACACACACATATACATATATATTGAATATATATATATATATATATAATATATATATTATATATATATATATATATATATATATATATATATATATATATATATATATATTTATTTTTTTTATCTTTTTATTTATTTATCCATTTGTGTATTTATGAAATAAGAAAATATGTACTGAATCCTATTTTAATGTGGGAGGTATTGAACGTAGAAGTAATTTCTGTGGGTTGTGTACAAAGGAACAACTTGCAATCCGGTCGAGGAAGAATTGAATAGCAGAAAATAAATTTTCTACCTTATAAGGGAATAGAAGCAATGACTGGTATATAATTTGGATACTGTTAGTTTACTAAACATACTGAAGCATAGATTTCCGAAAAAAATGCTGGTGGTTCTTTACGGTGAAAGCAGTTTTTCTTGGCTAACAGGTCCTTCTAAGTTCATTATATATATATATATATATATATATATATATATATATATATATATATATATATAGAGAGAGAGAGAGAGAGAGAGAGTTTGTTTGACGATCTCTAAAGCGTGAAACCCAGGGTCACAAACTCACATCTATCCAACCAAATATGTTAGCTCTATCTCTGATATTGAGCGCTTTCTAATAAGTACCGCGCATATAATATATAAATAATTATACATACATATATTTCTTTATATTTATATACACTTTTTTCACACACACACACACACACACACACACATATATATATATATATATATATATATATATATATATATATATATATATTTATTTTGACCAATAAAAAATATTAAAAATTAAAATCATCAGACACACTGGGGTGTAGATTAATATTCTTTTTTTTTTTTTTATTATTATTTCATTTAGGTTCCTCGACTAGTTTCGGCCAAAATGGCCATCATCGGGAGAAGAAATATTGCTGCTTGCTAGTAGCAGTAAACTACAGAAATGAATGTCTTGCTGGAGAAAATATATATATATATATATATATATATATATATATATATATATATATATATATATATGTTGAGAGAAAAGAAAATTAGACCGAGAGAGAGAGGTTGAGATAGATAGATAGATAGATAGATAGATAGATAGATAGATAGATAGATAGATAAACGGGCTCTTTTGGGCATTGATGGAAAATAAAATGAATAATATAGAATAATATTTTTGCTGTAAAATACTCCCATTTTTTCTCTAGTCCTACCTTCTTTCTTAATGTCAGTTCATTACTGAAATATTTTATACAATTCTTTCCACATATATGCTAGCATGTTGTTTTTTAATAAATCCTATCCACACACACACATATATATATATATATATATATATATATATATATATATATATATATATATTTACATTGATATTACAATTTTATAATAATTTCAAAATAATTTAATGTAATAATTTTGTTTCTTTACTATTTCCTGGAATTGCTTTATAATTTCAATTTAATTTCCCCATGATAATAACATTCGTATAATCATTTCCATATAATATCTTCGAATTCTGTACAATTTCGACGTAACAACTTGGTAATTTTCTTATAATTTCCATATAATAATTCTAATCGCCTTACAATTTGCTTTTAAATCCGTTATAACTTTTCAAATAAAAATTTCCATATAATAATATTTCTATTTCTTTATAAATTCCATATAAACCCTTTATATTTTCATTATAATTTCCAATTACTAATATAATAATTTCCCTACAATAATAGTCTTCATCTTTATAATTTCCACTTTAATTTATAATTTCCTAATAATTTTCATATATTTTCCGTATAGATTCAATTACCTTATAATAATTTCGAATGATTTGCACTCAAGATTTTTCTGTGTTAAATCCTGCATTAGAATTAATATCGTTGGATTTTGATTTGAAAACTCTTTTTTATTTTATTCTTTTTCATTTTATTTTATTTTTTTTATTTTTTTTGCACACAATTAAATTTAAAAAAAAATATATTAATCATGACGAAGATATTTTGTTAACTTTACTTTAAACTTTTCCAACTTTCTGACTGGTACCCTGACCTTTCTTTCAAATTTTAATTAAACAATTATAAAAAAATAATGATGATACGCTGATTTCGCATTATATTAAAACCGTAAATACCAATATAATTTTTGTAAATATAAAACAGAAAATTATAAAAAAAATAAAATCATTAGTTGAGAAATATAATTAATAAAATTCCTTCTTGAACAGAGAAAAATTTTCCTTCAAATCAGTTTGTACCTCGATCCTATCAACGTTGCTTAACCTGTGGTGTACTAACAACAGCACTAGTATGAGCTGACTAAAATATTTTCCAGCACTCAGTGTAAGTCGAAATTACTACTAAGTAATGCTCAAGGAGACTACTTCGCTTGTAATTAATTACTCAAAACAAAAACGACCAAATGTTATTGAATAATCTTATCTTACTTTTAGCACAGGGCCATATAAATGTGGAATCGAATTAAAAACCTACTCAGTAGTAATGATCGACTAGACTCGCTCGTTAACCATAACGCAATGCCGATGTGGCCAGAAGTCATTTAATAAGCTCATCATAGCTTTATCACAATGCCATATATGTAGGATGACCAATGAACAAGCTACCAGTTTCGCAAAGAATTCTTATCGCTTTTGGATCGCCAATGTGTACGAAGGCTTTAGTTCGGAAAAAAAAAAACTCTTCAACGTGATCAATAGAATTATCTATAGAACTTTTAAGAAACACACGTTTTCCCATTTTTGTCTGTGTTAATCTCTTTTCTAATAAATGAGACTTTAATATGATTATTTTAAGTAAGTAAAAGACATTGAAATAGTGATTTTTAATAATAATTATAATAATAAAAGAAATACAAAAAAATGTTCTCACGAGTACAGCCCATACCTTACGAAGGGCTTTGTCTATGTAAAATGTATGTATGTATGTGTGTGTATGTATGTATGTGTGTGTGTGTGTGTGTGTGTGTGTGTGTGTGTGTGTGTGCTTTTAAATTGCTCAGAGGAAAATTTCATGATGCCATTTCTGACCTTAGGTCTCTGGTCGGGACACGGAAAGAAATGAGTAAACACCAGAAATCAAAGGAAATATAATAATAATAATAATAATAATAATAATAATAATACTAATAATAATAATAATAATAAACATTACGAACGCTGCGGAAATCAAAATTAACAAAGATACCATCCAAGAATATTCACTATTTCCATTGTTATTTATCAAGGTTTACTGTTCTGTTATATGTATTTTTAATTATTTCCCTCCCACTAAGGGCCCAAAGCGTTACTTGGAACGAACGAGAATGAGAAATCGTTAATGAGAAGAAAGGACAATAAAAGATCAGGTTACAGGAAGACAGGAATGTGACGATTGATGTTGCATCTTACTTTTTTTTTCAATGGAATTGTGTCCGGTAAGCAAGAAATCGAGAGAGGGTTCCACAGACGCGAAGTACGAGAATAGAACTAACGGTTACATCAAACTATTTCAGTAATAAAACGATGAGACCTAATTACCAATCTAGTAGCACGCTTAAATTCTTGCGGTCGAACTAACAAGTAGGAAAGCGTATTAGAACAACTACCATGGAAATGTTTATAGACAAGACAGAAGGAAATCACAAGAGGCTAAAGATATTTAGCAGGAGTACTAGATCAGATGTGGCAGGAATATTCAATGAACGGAAATAAATAAATTGGACAAATGAAGTTTTTTTGTTTTTTTTTCCGGGATCGAAAATGTATTCGGTATCTAAATAGAAATGGCCAGAATTGAGAGATGTGCAATGTTAACGATGTAAATAGAAAATAAGCAGGAGAAGGAATTGGATTTAGCAAGCAAAACATTAAGAAGACACTCAGCGAGAAAGAAACTTCCAAGAAAGAAGGAATATTGGAAAGGAATTCATAGCAAGCAGACTGAGATGAAGAAAAGATATTGTCAAAGAATATTTCAGAAAGAAAAGGAAGATACGAAAATCTGGACTCAGAAGAAGAAATTGCTTTAAAAGAATAAATACCAAAACTATTTCAATTATAAAATATTCAGGACCATACCTAAACTGGACAGGAATAAAAGGAAGCTTCATCAGAAAAAAAAAAACACGCTGATGACAACGAATAAAGACTTACACCGAAGAGATTATATGTTTGATTTGCTTTTTAATGTTTATCAACCTTTTGCAGGTTATTTAAAACCCGAAAATATTTTTAGATTGTAAGAGATTTTTTGGAGATAATAATGATTTACTGATACCAGTCATATTAATTAATCTACAACTGGGAGAAGAACAAGAGAATTCATACCGTTCCCAATTGTATTTGCACGTAAGTGAATATAACAAACTCGACTGGAAATCGAACTCGGCTCTCCGATATGCAATTCCCAGCAGTTATCCAAACTCACAGCCAAGCTTACAGCACCTATTATTCACAAACTGTCACTTTTCTAGGTAATGATAGTATGAGAACCGGTGTTTCGATATGATACGACCGTAAGCCTCGTTATACGTTAAACGAAAGGAAAGAAATAAAGAATTCCGTCAGAATTAAAAATTGCACGGATTCTGCTACTAAAAGAATGAAGACAATATAAGATATATAGATTTCAACTTTTAAATGCTCCCCCAGAAGTAGCAGGGAGATTAAATTCAAAAATCGGTAAGGTGTGGCATTAAAAAATACACACTATTTACATTATTCGGACTATTGTCCTCATCTTTTTCGCCATATTTATTACAACGTTTCGGCCGTTGTAAACTCCAGCCTTCTTCAGGTGGTTGAAATGTCGAACTGAACCCTTTATTTTTCTCACTGGGGTAGACTGTTTTAGTTCCACGTGCCATATTTAATGGATACCAGTTATCAGTTTTCTTCTGTTAATTCATCTCTCCAAGTTCTCCACTGCCTTAACTGAGTATTGAACTCACACGCTTTGGGTCCTGTCACTGGATCTAACCAACGCCTTTATCCACTATGCCATGTGTCCTTGAGAACCCAAAAGAGTGTGAGTTCAATACCCAGTTAAGGCAGTGGAGAACTCGGAGAGAGGAATTAACAGGAGAAAACTGATAACTGACGTCCATTAAACATGGCACGGGGAACTAGAACAGCCTACCCCAGTGAGCGAAATAAAGGGTTCAGTTCGACATTCCAACCACCTGAAGAAGGCCGGAGCCTACAACGGCCGGCCGAAACGTTGTAATAAATATGGCGGCAAAGATGTGGATAATAGTTCGAGTAATGTAAATACTGTACATAATACCTCATCTCAGAAATATAAACAGATAAAAAATCCACCCCTTAAAAACCTGCTTGCTACCGAAACCAGTGCAACGCCTAGTGTTTTGAGGTTGTATCCCTAAACACTACATTGACTGATTGATTGGTTGTAATTATGCTAAAACTGGGGAAAGAAGCAAAAAAAATAATACAATAAATATTTCTTCTGCAGAGAAAAAAACGTTAAACGTCATTAGCAATGTTTCATGCTGGCCTAGAAAATACCAGAATAGACACAACAGAATGACAAAACTCAGAACGGGTAATCAGTAAAGGTTCAAACATGTTGCAAATTGTATCATCCCAAACTAGAGTCTTTCCTGGAAAACAGCCCTGGGTATGACGATAAACTACATCCGCGTCCTGGGTAAGACGATAAAATACGTCCACCAGCAAGGCCTCTGATCAGGAGGTTTTGAGGAGCGTGGAACCACCTCTTAATTGCTGGTGATCCCAGGTCCACCCTGACCCGCGGTTGTAGCACCTGTTAGGATCCCAGCTATGGGCAAATAGTTAACCCCCAAACTGGTGTCAAAACACTATGAAAGTGTAAAAATATGTTTTAATACCAGAAATAAACTATTACCAGCAATACAAGTTTGAAATAAAAATATTACCAATACGTTTTTAAAATAAAAAATATTACCAACAATACGTTTTTAAAATAAAAAAATATTACCAGCAATACGTTTTTGAAAAAAATATATTACCAGCAACACGTTTTTAAAATATATATATATATTATCTGCAATACATTTTTAGAAAAAATATTACCAGTTATACATTTTTGAGGAAGAAAATATTACCTGCAATAATTTTTTTGAAAAAAAAATATTACCAGCAATACATTTTTGAAGGAAAAATTTTTTACCAGAAATAGATTTTTGACAAAACCAAATATTACCAGCAATAAAAATTTTTTCGGCATTAAATAACTCAATTAGGTTCATATGCCGTAAACCAAACCAAACCAAACTTTTTGGAAAATAGATATCATAAAATATTTTGGAACATTCGATAATGGAAGTACCATTTAAGTAAAAAATTCGCACCTTGTAGTTGGCAAAGAGGAATAAACAACAGCACCGAAATGATTGTATATATCGCAAGGAAACTTGGTTCTATGTGTCACGTCAGAATGTTTTTCTCGCCTAGGTCCATCCTTCAAATCTACAAATTAACCATTCCCTATTTCATGGAATACTGCTGCCGTATATGGTCTGAAGCCCCCGCTGTTCATCTCAAGGTCATCGACAAAATCCTGAGGCGGATATGCAATGTGATTGGTCCTGATTTGGCATCTCGTCTACAGTCGCTCTCTCACAGACGTACCGTCGTTTCCCTCTGTCTTTTCCACAAATACTTTCACGGTAACTGATCCGACGAGCTACTCTCGTTGGTTCACAAACTGCATGAATTTAAGCGTGCTATATGTTGGCATCTCAGTCCTACCCTGTCACTGTCGAAACGGTTAAATGTAGACGTCTCTTCTACTCCAATAGCTTCATGTCTCGCACTTCTCGTCTGTGTAACCCCATTCCTTTAATTGGCTTCCCTGATAGTTATAATCTACACATATTCAAATCCAATGTCAATCGATATCTCCAGATGCCTTGATCTATTCCCAGTCCTTCTTTTCATCCTTTCCTCTATCCGGCTTCTTTACTCTTGCTCCCTTTCTCTGTAACCCCATTGCGTGCTAGTGGCATTCCCGCCTGGCTTGGAATGAAATGATTAAAAAATAAAATAAAATAAGAGGAAAAAAGAAAGAACCTAACAACGGATATGGTAGTAGAGAAAAAGTAAAAGAGAAGACCAGCCAGTTTTAGACGCCAGTGTGGTAGGAATCTGAACTTGAAGAGGTGTGAGAAAGTAGAAAATTAACAGGACCTCGCCGGAGTGTTGGAATAAGATATAGAATATGTAGTTTAGAATAATGCCCAGGGACAATAGAATCTGTGCAAAAAGTACTAGATCCAGTTGAGGAGAATTAGTAATAAGATGAATCCCACAGACTCTACAGGCAACTATTTAATAAATAAACGAAGCGTCTACTCAAATATGAGTATCCAATAAAAATATCGTTTAATGTGATTTGTCAGATTAATAGATAAAAATTATATCACTTCTTTAGAAAATGCTTTGGTTACGTCTGGATAATTAACTAAGCAGATATGAAATTTCGAGAATCTATGACATGAAGGATTTCGCTTGATCGGCAGAGGTTCTTTGTGACCGACTCGGTTAAAGAACGCTGGATCTGCCGGAGATCTTATATTTTTCTTTCATAAGATTTATCGAATATTTAGGCCGGTAGAGGTAAGTAAATAAATATACTGTTTAATAAGACGACAAAATATGAGGATCCACAAAAATAATGTTTAATGTCATAATACACACACATACACAAACACACGCACACACTCACACACACAAACACTCACTCACACACACACACACACACACACACACACACACACACACACACATATATATATATATATATATATATATATATATATATATATATATATATAATGGCTCAAATACTAATATTCCATGGTTATAATTTATTACATTGGAATGGTAACTGGAAAATATAACTGCGAGTATAAAAAACAAAATTTAAGTGAGAGTGTATGTGTGGGAGTGGGAAACAGGAGTGAAATGGAAATGTATAACAGCTCTAGAGAGAGGTGCTATAGAAGAAAGAAGAACAGGAAAGGCGTTAAAGAGAAATTAAAAAGTTTTAAAAGAGAAATTAAATAATATATATATATATATATATATATATATATATATATATATATTTTAAGTTTGCTATATTTATGGGATAAAGTGCTCAATATCAGAGATAGAGCGTGTGTAAATATAAATATAAACTGAACACTGAAGTCAACATTCAGAGGCGATAGGCTGTTTCATGCTGGACGCAATCGTCAGGTCGCCTTTGATTGTTGACTTCAATATTCACTATTATATATATATATATATATATATATATATATATATATATATAATGGTTTGACGATTGCGTTTAAGCTTGAAACAGACTGTGGTTGTTGAATGTTAAACTCAATGCGCTTTTTCATATTTACATATGCTCTATACCTAATATTGAGCACTTTAATCCATAAATATAGCATTCCTTAAAACTATATTTTTATCATATATATGCGTGTGTATGAGCGGTGTGCGTGAGTAATGTTCACTCAGAGCCACGTCTAAGAGGTACTCAATTAGAAGGTTACTGAATGAGACGTGCTATATGGTAGTACGGGTAGGAAGTGAAAATTATCGGCATGTGAAGGATCAATGACGACTTATCATAGATTTAAATAGGATTAGATTGTAATTTTAGAGGAAGCAGCTACATGGGGGTCTGTTCCACAAAGCAACAGCTCTTTTCGGCGTGAAGAAGCTTTCTTACTATCGTCCTGACCCTCTTTCATACCCTCATTCCCTGCGTATTTGGGGAAGGGATGATGGTGATTAAACCCTTTGGACATCTGCGAAGATACTAATAAGGGTGCTGGATATTTACGGAAATTTTAATGTTGATGAGTAGACATCGGATGTAAACATGCAAATGTATGAATAATAATAATAATAATAATAACTTTCCTAAAAGAATGAAAATCTGTCAGTTAAAAGGATATAGTTGTTCTGCTTGACCATTGTATATCTGAAAGCAAAACT